GTTATCTCCAGCCTGTAGGTAGACACTCAATACGTGTTTATTGAGTGAATCATTAGTGGTAGTAACTAAGTGATATGGGTGACATTCTCTTGATGGGACTTGATACTCATTTTGTCAGTGTCATGTCTCTTTCCATATGGTATAATTCATGACACCCCAACTAATTCTTAGTAAAAGCTGTCAGTTATGTTATACTGGTTAAAGTGCTTTACATGTAGTATTTAAGTTAATCCTCATTTCTGCTGTGTGAGGTATGAGGCATTATCCTCATGTCAACACTGAGACAATAATTATCCAAATAATTACTTAGCTAATTACATAAGGTCACAGAGTCAGAGATGGGAGAGGTCAGATTTGAACCTAGACATGTGATTACCTAAACCAAACAGATGTATTTGGTTTGTTTATTATGGTCACCCAAGAAATTTTTTTTTTCCAATGGAAAAAATTCAAACATAAATAAAATGAAGATGAGGATGAATTAATCCAGCACTAGATTACTGCTGGGAGCTCTGGTGGAGTAGTGCCTAAGGCATTTGACTGCTGACCAGAAGGCTGGTGGTTCAAACCCACCAGCCACTCCTCAGAAGGAAGGTTGGGCGATCTACTTCCATAGTGACACCGCCTCGGAAACCCAAGGAGGGGTCGCTGTGAGTCGGATCCGACTCGACGGCAGTGAGTTTTTCTTAGGTTACTGCTGGTCTACTTTCTATTTTACAGATTTCCCTATTCTGCACATTGCATATAAATGGGATTGTGCAATATGTGGTCTTCTGTGTCTGTCTCCTTTCACTTAGCATGGTGTTTTCATGGTTCATCTGTGTTGTAGTGTGTATAAGAGCTTCATTCCTATTCTATTGCATAGCATTTTCATGGTTCATCTGTGTTGTAGCATGTGGAAGTACTTCATTCCTATTCCATTGCATAGTATTTTCATAGTTCATCTCTCTTATAGTGTGTATAAATGAGTACTTCATTACTATTCCATTGCATAGCATTTTCATGGTTCATCCATGTTGTAGCATGTATAGGTACTTCATTCCTGTTCTATTGCATAGTATTTTCACAGTTCTTCTGTGTTGTAGCATGTGGAAATACTTTATTACTATTGCATTGCATAGTATTTTCATGGCTCATCTGTGTTGTAGCCTGTGGAAGTACTCCATTCCTATTCCATTGCATAGTGGTTTCATGGTTCATCTGTGTTGTAGCGTGTGGAAGTACTCCGTTCCTATTCCACTGCATAGTGTTTTCATGGCTCATCTGTGTTGCAGCGTGTGGAAGTACTCCGTTCCTATTCCATTGCATAATGTTTTCATGGTTCTTCTGTGTAGTGGAGTGTATCTGCATCTCCTTTACCCAGCTATCAGTTGATGCATATTTGCGTTGTTTCCGCTCTGGGGCTATTATGAATAATACTGCTGTCAATAGAGTTTTACTTTGGACATCTGTTTTCATTTCTCTTGGGTATGTACCTAGGAGTGGAATTGCTGTATCATATGATAATTCTACATTTACCCTTATGAGGAAGTGCCAAACTGTTCTCCCAAGTGTCTGCCATTTAACGTTCCCGCCAGCAATGGTTGAAGGCTCCAGTTTCTCCACCTCCTCAACACCACTTGTTATTGTCCATCTTTTTTATTATGTCCATCTGTGTAGGTGAGAAGTGACATCCCATTTTGATTTGAACTTCCCTAATTAATTGATGATGTTGAGCAGAGCATCTTTTCATTGTGCCCAGAGATGCTTTGTAAATCTTCTTTGGAGAAATGTCTATTTAGATCTTGGGCCCTTTTTTTAAAATTGAGTTATCTGCCTTTTTATTATTGAGATGCAAAAGTTCTTTATTCTAAACAAGTCCTTTATCAGATAATATTTTAAAATATAAGTAAACACATTCATGGTATTATTCCTCCTGTGTCTTTGGTAAATTACAGCATATGATACAATTGTTTCCTCCTTGCTCTTTGCTTTGTTTTGTTTTAACTGAACACTGTATCCTACAGTGTTCCCATTGTGTGGATGTGCTGCACTTTATACAGTCTGTCTTCCATTGAGGGCTATTTGGGTTGATTATAGTCTCTTGCTATTTTAAATAATGCCACAGTGAAAATAGCCTTGTGTCATTTTGTATTTTTCCCTCATGGTGTTAGGATACATTCTGAGCCATGAGATTGCAGGCTCAAAGTACAAACACACATGTGATTTTGTTAGAGGTGGCCCGATACCCCTGAACGGAGATGGCACCGTTTCTCTCCCCTCCAGTAGCATGCTGGAGTGCCTACTAGGCCGCGGTTGGATTTAGAAACTTTTGGGGTTTTGCCAACTGTGATGAAAAGTGCTATCTCAGTGTAGTTTCAATTGGTTTCTGAGTGTGATTGACCATTTTCTTTTATGTTTAAAATCCATTTGCATTTTTTCTATCAACAGTTTCTATCTCCTAAGATGTGACTTTGATATGTAGTACCACTTTCAGTTTAAGTGGAAAATTCTTTCCAAATAATATCCGAATTGTTCTTCAGTTTTGTATAAGTATCAAGGCAAAAGCTACAGATCAGGGCTGAGGTGGTGCGTATCCATGTATAAATATTTCCTGTTTTATTTTTAGCCCATCACTGCCACCTGGAGCTCAAGTGTTAAACTGGGAATATCAAACCTATTATAAATGCTAGGAGTCAAACCACACAGTATTTTTATTTTCTAAGTGTGTTAAGTAACTGCGATTGTTGTTGTTGTTAGGTGCGTGCAGTCAGAACGAAACAGTGCCCAGTCCTCTGGGCCGTCCTCACAGTGGCTGCTATGTCTGAGCTCGCTCTTGTAGCCCCCGTGTCAGTCCATCTCATTGAGGGTATTTCTCCTTCATGCCGACCCTCTGTTTTTCCAGGCAAGCATTGTTTCCTTCTGCAGGGCCCTGGTCCCTCCCGAGAACCTGTCCACGGTCCACGAGATGAGGTCTCATCATCTTCACGTCTAAGGAGCACTCTGGCTGTACTTCTTCCAAGACAGATTTGTCCATTCTTCTGCTAGTCCATGGTCCATTCAGTGTTCTTCACCAACACCCTAACTCAAAGGCGGCATCCATTCTTCTTTAGTCTTCTCATTCATTGTCCAGCTTTCAAGCGTATGTGAGGCAATTGAAAATACTGTGACTTAGGTCAGGCCTACTTTAGTCCTCATAGTGGCAACTTTGCTTTTTAACACTTTAAAGAGGTCTTTTGCAGCACATTCGCCCAGTACAATATGACATCTCATTTCTCGACTGCTGCTTCCATGGGTGTCGATTGTGGATCTAAATAAAATAATTAATGATTACAAGGTACAAATCTAATTTCATGAGGCAGATTGGTGGTTTACTTTCCATTTCTAGTAAAATGGA